CCCGCCCACGGGTCGCCCCCGCGCGGCGCCGCGGCAGGCCCAGGCCGCAGCTCGGCGCCCCGCGGCCTCGCGGGGCACGCGCTCCCTCCGCGCGGCCGGGCCGCAAGCCCACCATTTGCCTCAAAGCTCAAAGCTCAAAGCTCGTTGCCTCCTCCTCCTCCTCCTCATCCTCCCCCTCCTCCTCCTCCTCCTCCTCCCCCTCCTCCTCCTCCTCCCGCTCCTCCTCCTCCTTTTTCCCCCCCCTCACCTCGATGGGGGCGGATGGAACAAAGGAAGCGCCGCCGGCTGCCTCGGCAAGGGCCAGGGCGGCCGTGGCACACGGCCGTCGCTCGCCGAGCCACCGTCTCACCATGCCGAGCAGCTCAAAGCTCGTTGCCTCCAATTGTGTGGCTGAGGAGACGAGGTGCTTTCGCATAGACTCGTCAAGTTTTTCAATCATGTGGTCCCCCAGCTGGTGTGGAAACTCTTGGGGAGTGGGCTGGGGAAGTGGGAAGAAGCTGGTGATGGAGGAGGAGGAGGAGGAGGAGGAGGAGATATTGGGGAGGAGGAGGAGGAGGAGGAGGAGGAGGAGGAGGAGGAGAAGAAGAAGCAGAAGTGGGAAGCTGGTGTGGAAATATTTGGCCGTGGAAGTGGAGAAGAAGCTGGTGATGGAGGAGGAGGAGGAGGAGGAGGAGGAGGAGGAGGAGGAGAAAAAGGAGAAGGAGAAGGAAAAGGAGGAGGCCGAGGAGGTGTTTTCTCGGGGGGGCAATAAGGGGCCTATTAGGGGGCATCCTAGGGGCCTCACTATTGGGGGCCTCTTGGTAGTTTTTCAGTGCCGTGTTGGGGCAATCCTGGGCCGTCTTGGAGGCCATTTTGGACCATCTTGGGTGACTAGCCCATTTTGGACCATCTTGGAGGTTATATCGAACCGTCTTGGAGCCCTCTTGGGGGCCGTCTGTGGGCCATCTTGGAGGCCTCGTGGGCAGTTCGAGGCTGTGTGAAGCCCTTCCTAGCGAGAGCGCCCATAGGAGAACAACGAGAAACTACTTAATTATCTATTCCTCTTGGCGCCCTCTCGGGGGTCCTCTTGGAGGCCTTTGAAGGAGTATTGAAGGCCGCGCGGTTTGGACTCGGAGTTCGACGTCGGCTTGATGCAGGTTCGACGTGGGGCGGGTTTGACGCGGGTTCATTTTTGCATCTTGGCATTTTGGTTTCTTCATGTGCATTCGACGCTGGTTGAACATGACTCCGACGTGGATTCGGTGTCAATTCGACACGGTCGAAATTAATTCGATGCGGATTCGACACGGATAGTTGGCGCGATGGGACGGGCGAGGTCCCCCGAATATGCAAATTGGAACATCGGAGGTTCAGTGCCCCATGTGTCAGTTCGCATTCCCCATCTTGGGCCCCTCTCGGGGACCGTTGTGGTGGCCTCGGGGTCTCTCTTTTGCGGGCCGTGGGGGCCTCTTGGACAGTCTGGGCTTACTTTTAGGATCGAAATGGCGATCACGTGGAAGCCATTCTGCCAGACAAACGCATGTTCAATGATTGATGGCCCTTGGGCCAACCCAGGACCTCCACCCAAGAGGCCCTCCAGGAGAGCCCCAGGACTGCCCTTGAGGACCATCCTAGGGCATGTTGGATGTTGATGCAATGTACGGCACAGGGCTTCGGCGCAGCGTGCCGAGTGGGTTCGGACGACCTCTCTTACGGAAGGTTCGTATCGTGTCGGCCCGGCAACGACACCATTGAATGATTTGCACCGTCGGAGAGCCACGATCGTTCAAGGTTGAGCGGGCCACACGGTGTCAGAGACAATCGCCGAAGTCGTCACTGCACGAACCTGCCGTCCCAACGTAAGATCTTGGGGAATGTCGGCGATGCGGGTTCCGAACCACGATCCCACGGCCTCCGGGAAAATTACGCCGCACGTTCGGGGCACCCCCATAAATCCTCGGAGATTGCGATACTCAATCAGGAAGCTAGGCCGCCCTTCGCGAGACCACGGAGTGGCGTATACTGCCTAGGCGTCTCTCTCTCATCTCGCCTCGCCGTTCTCTCCCTCCTCGTTCCCTCATTCCTGCTTGCACGGCGGTATTCAGTCTCACGTAGTGGAGCCATTTGTGCAATGAGATGGGGGCACATCTCGTTTGCGGGTACTTTGTAATGAAATAGTGCGGCATTCAGGATGCCCACGGCATCGAATTCCCCGATCACTTGCGCAGCATCGGAGAAGCTTTACTGCTTAGCCTCCGACACGTGCAAGAAGGACGCCAGCTTTGCGGCATGCATGATGTATTTTTATGCGCAGAGCTAGTTGCACATTCGTGCCAGCGAGTTCGTCATCGCACCGGCAGTGTATGTGTGTTCAATGCTGTGGGCGCGCATGTTGATTGGAGCAGCACGGGGAGGGAGGATGAGCGGGGAGGATGAGGACGGCAGGATGTGAAGAGGGAGTAATGGCTTAAGTAATGGCTCAAAGTCAAAGCCAACGTGCTATTCCAGCAGCTCGGAGTCACGGCAGCCGTGGCAACGACCAGTTGTAGACAAAGGCAGTTGTTATGCGATGTGTCGGGTTCGTGATCACGTGTTGTTGGGCAATATTGCGCCATTGCACGATAATCGTGATGTCCTCAATGGTCGTATCGATTTGCTGACGCGAGGAGCGCGACACAGCCAGGTTGCAGGCGAAAGTTTCATATGCGCAGACGTCGGCATTCCAGAAGACATCTTTTCCGAGGAACCATCGCAGGACCCTTCCGAGGACCGCGTATCCCAGAAGTTGGAGTTTGAGTTCAAAGGCGGGGAAGGGGGGGAACAACGCGAGATGGAGGACGCGACGCAGACTGGCGCACCTCCTCCCGCCCACCAGGGCGGACGAGACCCATGTTGGACCCACGTGTTTGCTCGGCATCATTAATAGCAACAGCCATCGACATGCAGGTATGAAGGCTGCGCCGCTTGAGCACATGCCATTCTATCCTCCCTCGGGGCCCAGTTTGGTAATTGTTTGCTGGTCGCGAAGTATATATGAGTTTCCTAAGCACGCAGCGCCTCGTCAACATTCGCGGGGTGGCGACAACTGACCACAGAGTGGAAGCACCGGGCTGACACGCGGTCCTAGCTTATGACGCCCATGCTGACAATACGAATGACGAGATCTGGTGTGACCGTTCGAGCTTGCGCGCGCGATTGCATTACGTTTCGGTCAGAGGCGAGCCCACCCAAACGAAAGGAAGACGAGAGTGACACGGCAGCGGAGGCGGAGCAGAAGATGGAGGGAGGGGACGTAGGAGGAGGCGGAGGGGGTGGGATCGGGAGAGGAGGAGAGGGACGGCGATGAGTAGGCAGATCAGGATGATGATGGTACAGGTATGGAGGACCAGGACGGTCGTGAGGACGAGGACGGTCGTGAGGATTTTGCTAACGAGGAGTGTATGATGATGATGGTGGTGATGATGATGATGATGATGATGATGATGATGATGATGCTGATGCTGATGCTGATGCTGATGCTGATGATGATGATGATGCTGATGCTGATGCTGATGCTGATGCTGATGATGCTGATGCTAATGCTGGTGCTGGTGCTGGTGCTGGTGCTGGTGCTGGTGCTGGTGGCGATGCTGAATGAATGAACTCGGATGGTGGCAGGAGGCAGACAAGGACCAGGATGCGGAATGGAACATGAGGGGGATGAGGAGGATGGAGAACACGGACGACGAGGGAGAGTTGGAAGTGGGGACGGAGGACGGAGGGAGGGAGGAGGGATAAGCGAGGTGGACGGGTGAGCCAGGAACGGGGAGTTTCGGGAGTGTGGGTAGAAGGAAGGCGGCAGGGAGGGAGGTCTGGAGGAGGCAGCGGATGAAGAAGCCGACTGAGAAGAAGGGAGGAGAGGAGCGTGGAGGAGAAAGACGAGGCCGAAAACGGAGGTCAGTGAGGTGGGAAAGAGGAAGCGGTTGAGAAGCGGAGGAGGGAGATGACGAGGATTACAGGGCGATGGTACGGAGGGGCAGGGGAGGGGGAGGACGACGGTGAAGAGGAGTATGTCTTGTTGCAAGGCTTGTCTGCACGTGACCTCAGCGCCTCCGACTGCTGTGAGCGCCCGCGCGGATTGCTTCTGCCGTGCTGCGACGTCAAACATGGCCTGCACCTCACCATGGTATTGACTGGGGCCCTCCTCTGCAGTGAGACTGGGCAGTCCTGGAGGATGACCGCCGGCAATGACCGTGCTGCAGAAGCACATGGGGCAATGCAGCGGGACAGTCCACTTCCCCTGTTCGCTCCTCCCCCTACGCAGTTTGGATCATCTCGCAGGGAGTGTGGGTGGGTGTTGTTGTTGTTGCTGCTGCTGTTGTTGTTGAGGTATCTTTTCTGAAGAATAATTATTGTCTATCCCCCCCCCACCGGTGCATACTGTTTGTTCTTTATCCGTAAGGGCTTCGCCCCCTGCCGCCGGGCCCCCCCTCTCGGAGAATGGGCCATGGAAGAGCTAAGTCATGAGGCCTTGGCGCTGTCGTGAAGCAGTATCGAAACTTCATGCGAAGCCGATTCGCAATCAGCAAAACCAACTGATCACAAGAGGGGTTACCACACCTGGCGATTGGTAAGACGTGTATGGTTTACGGGCTTGGTTACCACACCTTGCGATTAAAGGGCCGAGGGAGTTCTCGCAGTTTGGGTTACCACGCCTTGCGATGGATGTGCGTGAAGGGTGGCACCGAATTTCAGAAATGTGGCAAATCCCCTGTGTTTTTGGACCCTGACCCCGCGGATCTGCGTGAGGGGTGGCGCCGAATTTCAGAAATGTAGCAAATCCCGTGTGTTTTTGGACCCTGACCCCGCGGATCTGCGTGAGGGGTGGCACCGAATTTCAGAAATGTGGCAAATCCCATGTTTTTGGACCCTGACCCCGCGGATCTGCGTGAGGGGTGGCACCGAATTTCAGAAATGTGGCAAATCCCATGTGTTTTTGGACCCTGACCCCGCGGATCTGCGTGAGGGGTGGCACCGAATTTCAGAAATGTGGCAAATCCCATGTGTTTTTGGACCCTGACCCCGCGGATCTGCGTGAGGGGTGGCACCGAATTTCAGAAATGTGGCAAATCCCATGTGTTTTTGGACCCTGACCCCGCGGATCTGCGTGAGGGGTGGCACCGAATTTCAGAAATGTGCAAATCCCATATGTTTTTGGACCCTGACCCCGCGGATCTGCGTGAGGGGTGGCATCGAATTTCAGAAATGTGGCAAATCCCTTGTGTTTTTGGACCCTGACCCCGCGGATCTGTGTGAGGGGTGGCACCGAATTTCAGAAATGTGGCAAATCCCATGTGTTTTTGGACCCTGACCCCGCCGATCTGTGTGAGGGGTGTCGATTTCGAGCCCCCCCAGCAATTCAGACAACGCGCCCAGGAGGTGCTAAATATCTGGTTTGGGCCTCCCCCCCCCTCGCGCGGTCAATCAACTAGTTACAGTAACCAGCAAGAAGCAGAACTGTAACACTGGAAACTACAAGCTACAACTGGTACAGGAAACTGCGAACCCGCGCCTACAGCCTGGTGGCCCACAAGGGGGCCGGCGGATCAAAGTGTGCCCCTGGACGCTCGCACCCTGTTTTTTTGACAGGGAAGGTATTCCTGCTCAAACTGGGCCCCTGGCCCGCAGGTTACAACAACAACGGCTTCCGCCTGAGACTTCCTCACAATTTAGCCAGGACCCCCGCTCCCGCCCGAGACTTCTCACAGTTTATTCCCTACCTAGGCTCTGCCTAGAGGGTTCTTACTCTCTTAGCTTAAAGGGGCCGGGCAGTGTAAAGCGCCCCGGGCGGTTCCCCCAGTCCCCGCCCCGCGGTTCCCCCCAGTCCCCTGGGAGCTTTAGCTTTAGCTTTACCTTAGCTTTACCTTAGCTTTAGCTTAGCTGTAGCTTAGCTTTAGCTTAGCGTTTCGCTTAGCTTTTCGCTTAGCGTTTAGCTTTAGCTTAGCTTTAGCTTAGCTTGAGCTTAGCTGTAGCTTAGCTTTAGCTTAGCTTTAGCTTAGCTTTAGCTTAGCTTTAGCTTAGCTTAGCTTAGCTTAGCTTTAGCTTAGCTTTAGCTTAGCTTTAGCTTAGCTTAGCTTAGCTGTAGCTTAGCTTTAGCTTAGCTTTAGCTTAGCTTTAGCTTAGCTTTTAGCTTTAGCTTAGCTTTAGCTTTAGCTTTAGCTTTAGCTTAGCTTTAGCTTAGCTGTGGCTTAGCTTTAGCTTAGCTTTAGCTTAGCTTTAGCTTAGCTTTAGCTTAGCTTTAGCTTAGCGTTACTGTTACTACTAATGCTGCTTTCCTAGGGGTTCCAACTCCTAGGTAGGGTCGCACTGGGATAATTCAGGAATCGCGCTCTCGCTTTGGACTTCCTGACAATTTATTCAGGAATCGCTCTCCCGGCGCTCTGTAGTCGCGCTCTCGCTGGAGACTTGCTGACGAATAGCGCCCTTGCATTGGAATTCTTGCAATTTGCTCAAGCGCCGCGCTCCCGACACCCAGGCACCCAGGAGTCGCGCTCACGCTTAGGACTCCCTCACCGATTACCTAGGAATCGGGATCTCGCTGCCCTTCGTGGCCCCGTTGCAGCCCTTCGTGGCCCCCTCGCTTTGTTTCGTGGCCCCGTTGCAGCCCTTCGCGGCCCCCTGACTTTGTTTTGTGACCCCGTTGCAGCCCTTCGCGGCCCCGTTGCAGCCCTTCGTGGCCTCGTTGCAGCCCTTCGTGGTTCCCGTTGCAGCCCTTCGTGGCCTCGTTGCAGCCCTTCGTGGTCCCCTCGCTTTGTTTGGTGGCCCCGTTGCAGCCATTCGTGGCCCCGTCGCTGCTCTTCGTGGCCCCATATACGCCGCCTGGCGCCGCGTGGAAAGTCTTGCTGTGGACATATTTCATGACGCTTTCTTGGAGTTCTGCAAGGACGACGCCCCAGATAAGCTGGCCACCGAGTGCCCTGATTTCAATGCGAGCATCCTCATTTTCCTCCCGAAAAAAACCATCGGGACGACGGGGCACGGCGACGACCTCATCGACCCGGACGGCGTCCGGCCCTTGAACATAACGAGCACCGACACTTGGGTTCTCGCCAGCGCGTGCCGCTTCCTGGTCGAGCCAGCGCTGGGGCCGTTGATTGCTGACGAACAGCGCGGATTCATCCAAGGGCGTTCCATGGTGAGCAACATCCTCGACGTGGACGAGGCGATGCTCGCGACCGCGGCGGCTGGGGAAGGAGGCATGGCTTTCTTCTTCGACTTTGCGGCCGGCGTTTCCGT